AGTATCGGTACTCGTACTTGTACCGAGTACTGTACTTGGTATCTGTACAACCCTTTTAATCATAGTTACTTAGTATGGCGGGCACAGCTGTCTCTGGCTCTAGAGAGGCAGAGCCAGCCATCAATCAGGCAGCTGAGTGGATCCCGACTACAGCACAGTTCTGCACTGTCGCCATATAGACCTGCTAGATGCTGACTTTGGGTCACAGGAGTACATTTACCTATGTACTCCTGTGACCCAAAAGAGGACTAAAGCCAAAAAAAGTCTGGCTTTAGTTCTCTTTTAACTTAAAACTTAATAATTATACCCTCATTGAAAATATACTATACATTCCTTTTAACTTTAAGGATATAAATTCTTCATGTTTGTTTGCTAGCGGGACAGTTGATGACAGCCATGCATGGACACATGGTTCCTCTGTTTTAGTGAAAGATCCAGAAACTGGCCTTTATCTCTCTAGTACCTATAGCTGCTACAAGTTCTAGCTGAGGAATTCTCCTTCTAAAAACAGTTTTTACAGAGGTCTTGCACTGACATGTTTGATTTTCCAGCATGCTAGAATATTTTCTTGACCAATGTTACTGTGTTTCATTAACTCAAGCTGGGCAAATATCATAGTGCAGAATGCGGTGACCCATAGAAATGTGTTAATCTTTACCTCTATTAAATTTGGTTTGAACTTTAAAAGGATCTGAAGGAAGGTTTTTGGTGTAGGAGCAGAAATCACAACAGTCACAACCAAGATTAAATTGTATCTTAACCCAAAATAAACATTTCAGATATTGCAGCTTACCAGTTCATTATTGTGATACCGGCCTTAGTCTTTTTTCTCCTTTTTTTTTACCTGGTGATCTGGCCAATAACACACTTCCTGTCTTAGGGTGGCTCCACTCTATGGAGGAGCAACAAAGCCACCCATTGACAGCAGCATTGTCACCCTGTAGAGAACGCAATGTTAGATGCACGAGCACATTAAGATACTAACAAATGAAATCTGGACTCCAGCTAACACTTTTTTAAACAATTACAGCAACCGTTTTTTGTTTTTTTAAATTAAAGTAATATTCATTTCTCAAACTTTTTTTCAATAATGAATGCAGATCAAACAAATGGGCCTGATTTACTAAACTGTAACATGAGGTACAAACGCATCTACACTTAAAGTGATATTCAATAATAAATCCAGATCAGACAAATATACATTGCCCAGCAAAGTATTACTTTAAATTATTGCTCAAGCACTTGCAGTCACCATGTTTCTGAACAGCTCCAACTCTCTCAGCTGCACTTTCCCTCCTTCCTGTCCAGTTTAAGATCACAAGGGACAGCACCGTCTCCAGCAGCTGTCCATCTAGTAGCCTGGAGAAGGAAGCAGGAAGGAGGGAAAAAGGAGAAGAAGGAAACTGGAAAACAGGGTAATAACTTATCTTGCTGTGCCTGTGTGTTTGTGGAGACACACACAGCTTACTAACCCACACAAGGGTGGCTCCTGACAAAGATATCATATACATTCAGAGCACTTTACTATATACTAACCCTTAGCACATTTTAGTCTAAGTTGTATTTTCTTCTTCTTTACTTTGTTTTGGGAGTATGCGGTTTTATATCCTGTTGATAAGGACCAATTTGAGCCAAGAATACATAGTTTTGAGTTAAAACATTTCTTGCACATTTTTTATTCAATGTTGATTTCACAATATATCTAATATACATAATTAATGAGTTGTCAACACCCTGAAGCACCTAAAATATGTTAATAATGATTATGGGAATAAATATCAGTTGTTTATTCTAATAAAGAAGAATCTGCTTTACAGGCGTCTTGTGTCCATGTCAGTTTCTCTAGCATTATGCTATGTGGGTGCACCTTAAACTTTCTCTTCTAGGATAAGTGTGGTATTGAATTTAATTTTGTCTACAACACTCCATAGGACCCTGAAAGGGAAAGGAGCCACCATAAAACAGGATATCAGGGTCAGTGCTGAGTGGATCAGCTGATGCTGCTGGAAACTCAAACTTTTAAACATTAAAGCGGACCTTTACACTCAAAAATCAAATTCTACCAATGCACCCCTCTATGTCTGATGATTAATAATACCATAGACATGTCAGGTATACTGCTGAAATACTTACACTTGCAGAGCATTCATTCCTGCTTTGAAAGGGCAAAATTACTTCAGTTTCCAAAGCAATGCACACTGGGATTGCCTTGTCATCAGCAGAGCATTGCTGGAAAAGCTCATCTGTAATCTAGGATCTCAGGGAAAGGCATTTTCCTCCCCTGAGATGATGTGCATGGTCACATGTCCTAGTCAGATGTTAAGTCACATGTGCCAGAAATCAAGGAAGTAATAGGAGAGCTAGTTTTCTGCCTTTAGTAAATATGGCCACTGTCAGGAGACTGGGAAAGAAAAGAGAAATAAGGTATGCAAAGAATACAAAGCTTACAATTATTTAGAAGGATGTGTTTGAAGATTGTCATTACTAGACATTTCTAAAGGTGTGTTTGTTGTTATTTTTAAGATATGGGTAAAGATCCGATTTGAGGAGCAGCATTTATTATACGTGATTTAATCAGAATAGCTCAAAAACCTTTTGACGTTAATATCACTTAAAGGTTTTAGGGCCCATTCACACCGCATACAGATTACCTCCAGACCAGACCAGACTGTTTCCGGACCCAAAATGCATCCCAATGTATCCCTATGCTATTTGTGGCCTCTGTTCCCACCAGCGCAGTCCATTCCAGACCAGAAAAAAACTGCTTGTCCTATTTTGTCTGGTCTGGAATGCACTGGAACGCATCAAAACGCTTCAAAAACACATGAAACGCACTGGAACACACTGGAACATTTTAAGCTAAAAAAAAAGAAAATTACAAACACGGCAAAATCGCTGCAAAAACGCAATGCACTATGGTCCAGATCTGGTCCAGATCTCGTCCAGAAAATGGTATAACCCCAGCCTCCACTAAATGCATAAAAGCTTACTATTATAAACACCCCTGTCAGTGTTAAATGGTTTGTGTCAACCCTCTATTTGCCACTTTTGCTGGACAGCTTTGCCTGTTAACGGAAGTTGAAATATAACAGATTTACAAGCTGGATCATTGTGTAAAAAAAAGGAAACAAAGCCTAAAAAAGAAAACAAACTAAACCACATTTAAGGATTGGTAAGCTGCAATGTATACTACACTTTTTGCTTTTGGTCTAGATACGTGTTAAACTCTTGTTTCTGGTGAAACAAATCAAATAATAGTTGATTACTATAGTGATGCCGATAATGCTTGAGACTATTGGGCTGATTTTCTAAAGGAGTTTAGATCTTCACAGAAAAAATTATTTGGAAATTCACTTCCTTTATTCAGTCATGTGAAAAGCAAATATCTGTATACTTTAATAATAATAATGTGCTAATATGTGCTAATAAGTAACCAGGAATTCACTTTTTATATGATTGAATAATTGAAGTGAATATTTAAACCTTTATTGTGTGAAGAAGCTGACCTTCTTATTAACCTCCACATGATAGGATATGCCAAAAACTGTCAATAAAAAGAATACTATAGTATTCTGTGATTTAAATGAATGTGTTTTATGTGATTTAAATGAAATAGGGAAATTCTTACTGTGAAGTTCAACACACACATTACAATATTATTGTACAACAATGAATCTGTAATTGGCTTGAGTGAACAAAAAGTAACCCCTACCCGCCCCTCGGCCAGCGTGCTCCATTATGAGTCCTCCCTTCCCCGCACAAACAGAGCTCTACAGCCATTGCAGTATTTCCCTCTTACTAGCACTAATCTGTGTCATCCCTTTGGAGGTATCAGCCGTTTTGGTGATTGGCGAGAGGTTAAAAGGGTGTGAGGAGCTTGGTCAGTCTTCATAATGAAATGGAAACCGCTACAGGGTCAGAAACACATATCTCTCTACACAGGGGCTTTGATTCTTCAAAGCACACAGATCTCATACAGTATATATGGAAACAGTGCTTCCTCTGCAGACGGAAACAGAATGTTGATGATCACTAAATAACATCCACATGTACAGAAACTTAATGATTTGTTCCATAAAACATCGCAAACAGATCAGTGTCTGGTCAGCTTTCATTTGCCTAACCATACATAACTTTTAAAGTTCTCTTAATTAAATGTCATTGGCTGATAAATTATGACTCATTGAATCATGTTATTAACTATTGAATAAGGATCTGTTTCAGTAGTAGGTTTTGAAAGGCTTAGTCCAGCTTTTGCAAAAAAATGATATAAAAAAAGTGCATTGATTGATTTTTTTAATTGGAGCCTGCAAAGCATTGCAACAACCATCAGTGAATGGTGGCTGCAGTAGTCTGGCTCCTGCAGGCTGTTTTACCTTGTCCCTGTCTGTGCTCGGGTATGAAGTAGGGACGGGAGAAAGTATGAATGGACTACAAGTGGTGTGGTGATGTCACAGCACTTGTAGTGCTAAAAGTCTCTCTGCTGCGGTGGGTTCTCCATTCACAGATCCTGTCAAAGCATCTGTGCATGGATGATGCGCCTGTGTGGGAGGAGCCATGCATAGCTGCACTAATTTTAAATATATACAGAATCCTGAGGGGAGAAGAACCCCAAGATTCTGGTAAGATGGAGGACGGTATAGAGGTGGGGACTTGGTTATGTGGCCATGTTTCACAATATCATGAATCGTGTATCATGAACAATTGTAATAAAAGATGGAGTTATTCTTTTAATGGAATTTCCCCTCAGTCAGTGTTACTGACCTCTTTATTGCTACTGAGTTATCGGACTTTGCATTGCTGCCATTTGCTACAATAAGAAGTTATAAAAGTGATAAAGAAGTTGATCCTTGTACCTAAATATGCTTCTTACCTAAGAAGAATTGATAGTCCAAAAACTGTCTTCTATGTTCTTGGTTATAATATAGTAATTTCTGGTTTGTATTTATAAATATAGCGGTATTACATATATAACATATACTGTGTTTCTCTTCCCTCAGATTCTCTTCCTCTCCCTTTCTCCTTGCCAGAAGAGCGACACATGGATAATGAGGATATACAGAGGCAGCCGAGGGCACCAGATCTCTCTGACACTCGCAACTACCAGCAGCAACAGAGTGAAGTTCCTACTAATCTACTCACTCAGGAAGAAAGGATGCGGAGGTTGGAGGACACTGTGCAGGGTCTGACCAACATGTTGGACATGGTAAAAGTTCAGGTCAGCAAAGCCACATTTAATGAAAACCAGTATACATTCTAAGTTACTATGCTGAAGTTAACAGGAAGGCCTTTTTAATGAGTCACTCATGGTTTTGTTTGCTTGTTCATAGCATAGAGACCACAACCTGTATTTTCTACTTATTTATCTAAAATAGAGCTTGAGATATTAGAGAACCAAAACAGCTATATGGAGGCCATAACTTATATTTTCTAGTCATTTATCAAAAGGAGAGTTTGAGATATGAGTGACCCAAAAAGCAACATAGAGACCATCACTTGTATTCTCTAATTATTTATCTAAAAGAGAGTTTAAAATATGAGTGAACCAAAAAAAAGCAATATGGCAACCATAACCTATATTCTCTACTTATTTATCTAAAATAGATTGTGTGATGTTAGAGAACCAAAAGAGCAATATGGAGATCATCACATTTATCTAAAATAGAGTTTGAGATATTAGTGAACTAAACAATTTTGAAGTGATCATTTTCTCCCCACTGGAACTAATTACTTGTATACGCTGGGCAAAAGGTCACCAAAAATCTCCTCTCCAGATCTGCAGCTGCCAGACAGTTTTTGCTGAATCCCACAATTTTTTTATGTGATTGATACATTCCAGGGAAGTTGAGGGAATGTGCCAGCATTTTTAATTAACTTACCAGTGTGAGATTACAGTGCCAAATTACGGGACATTACTGCATCATCGAAGTAACAGTTCAGTTCGGTGCACTGACCTTTGCTGAAATTAGCAGAAAACCTAATGGATTTTTTTCTAGAAGCAGCCTAACCCTGTAGTTGTTGTTTAAACTTCTACAGTGTCCCTAAAACATCTAAAGCTGGTCATACACTAGTAGAATTTAATTAGAAAAAATTAATTTTCAGAATGTTTGTTCGGTTTTCTAATAGTTAAAATGGGGTCAAATTGGCGACCATGTTTGACCGCAGTGACAAAAAAATGAAAGGAGCAGGATGGAATTTTTTTTCGTAAACAAATGAAATTCTAACAGTGAAAGTGTTTTTTTGTTCAAGAAACTCCATTCGTTACAAACTCCAATGTAAAAATGAAACAATTTCAAAAGACACTTTTCAAGTCTTTGATGGCATTATCAAATGTTTTGAAGCGATTCACATGAACTTTCCTACCAGTGTATAGCCAGCTTTAGCCAGCTTGTTTGGTCTATACAATATTCAGAATATGTGGTGGAAAATCCATAGGTATAAAAAAGACAGATGCAATCAAGCCAATGTATTCTCCTTTTATAAGGAAGTGGAAACTTTGACAGAAGGATTGCAGTGCATGGGCTATATTTGAAATGAGCTAAATTGCCTAGTGTCTAAATTAAAGTCTGCAGGCTCAGAAAATTATATAAGTAGCTAGAGAATTTTCCAGAGATTTACTCTATGATCAATTACTCATACTCTGAATGTCTAAGGTTATACATGTGCCCCAAGCTTTTTTTTTTTTTTTTTTTGCAATATGTTTTTTTTGACA